CAACTTGGATCAAGGCCTGTGATTTCTCTGTGCTAACCACCCTAGCTAGCTTTAGCCGCTAGCTCTTACGCGGAGAGTTGCGTCCATGCCGCGTTAGCTAACAGGTTAGCAAGCACGGCTCTCCCTCCTTCCACTGCTTTGTTCTCGTGATTAGCTGTTATTTTTTTTTTTACTCACAAGAGGAATGAGTTGTTGTTTTTTAAAAAGAATGTGAAAACACGTGCAGTCGACTTGATTCCTTAAGAAGCAGCTTTTGTTTTTTTTTTCACTGCATCGCGGAACACATTCTTCAAATGTTCTGTTTGTTGCAGGAGACTGGAAAAGTGCGGTCGCTCCGGAGTATGGCGCACTTACGTTACTTACGTTAATAGCTAGCAGTCGGTTTTGCTCAGGACTGCACGCTTATCAATAAACGACGATCTCATCATTAGGTGGTGCCACATACAGTGTGATCGTTCGTCCAGGAGGGGGGACAACGCACTGATGCTAGCACCAAAGGGGGCTTTCGAACGCTCGCTTTGGTAGAAAATTCTAGAACGTGGATTCTAGAATCCGAACATCGTAGTTGATCCGTTTTTTCTACTGAACCTTTTCCGGTGATTCAAAGTCAGGGCTGCTTTTTTTTTTTTGGTTGATCTGTTGTCTTGTAGTGGCTGATGCTTTGTGTTGCTATGCTAACCATTCTGTCTCGTTCTTTCCGACGCAGGTGAATCATGACCGAACAAACGTGGGTGGCACAGTTCAAGGTATGCATTTAATGTGTGTGTGTGTGTGTTTTAAATCAAGAAATGTGTCGTCATAGTAACCGCGGAGTCTTTTAGATTTTGTATTACTGGCGCTAAATCGTGCTAACGGTTGGTGTGTGTGTGTGTGTTTTTTTATTTTTTGAACCAGTATCAACCAGTTCAAACTAACTGGTGTTTTCTTTCAGCTGGTGTTAGTTGGAGATGGAGGCACCGGGAAGACGACTTTTGTGAAGAGGCACATCACAGGAGAGTTTGAGAAGAAATATGTTGGTGAGTATCTCTGTAGGAATGACTGACTCATGGGTATGATGTGTAATGAAGTACATCTACCATAATCACATGTTAAGTTAAATTGTACATGAGCTGAGTAAACTTACTTACCTGCCCATCTCTGTGTATTGGTAGTGATGTATTCATCACATCACCATCAAGCCCTTGTAACAAGTAAAAAAAAAAAAATTACTAAAAGGCCAAACTAGGGGTTTATACTTTGTAGAAGTTAATGTGAAGTTATATATATATATATTTTTTTAACCTTTTTTTTGGGTGATCAACTTTTTATTGAAATTCTACATAAGATGCTTATACACCTGAGCTTCAATGACTGAAACCAAAGACAGCATCAATTTACTTATTTTATTTTTTTTAAATCATGTTTTGAGATGCATATTTTTTTCCCCCACTCAAAACGTCAGTTTCTTCCACCTAAAGAAAATCCAGTAATAGTTTGGCATAAACTAAATGCTGCATTTACTTTTTGTGTTTGAGGTTTTGTTCATCCACCAGGATGTATTTGTTGCCCTTAAACGAGATCATTTCAAAAGAAACAAACAAAGGAGATAACCCATTATAATAAATGCAGTGGGATTATCGGCAATATCTTCTTTTCTTTTTTTTAAACATCTATGTCCCTTGACCTTTGTTCCTATCAATAAATCATCCATCATCATTTACTGTATCTCCAGCTGTTACACAAATTGTCTTTGTACTTTCAGCTACTCTTGGTGTAGAGGTGCACCCGCTGATTTTCCATACCAACAGAGGAGCGGTCAAGTACAATGTTTGGGACACAGCCGGACAGGAGAAGTTCGGAGGGCTGAGAGATGGCTACTACATTCAAGGTGCAATTCAAAATGATGAACATGCTATTCTTTTTTTTTTTTTTTTTTTAAACCTTAAGTCTGATTGCATGCTATAAACATTGTTAATCTTCTACCTTTTTTTAAAAGTGTTAAATCTTTACTCCTGCCCCTACAGCTCAGTGTGCTATCATCATGTTTGACGTCACCTCAAGAGTCACCTATAAGAACGTACCGAACTGGCATCGTGACCTGGTCCGTGTCTGTGAGAACATTCCCATTGTCCTTTGCGGAAACAAAGTTGACATCAAAGACAGAAAAGTCAAAGCCAAGAGCATTGTGTTTCACCGCAAAAAGAACCTGCAGGTAACAACTGCTCTGTTTCCAAGTTATAGAAAGCATTGATTTAAGTCTGAATCTCTAATTCCTGTTTTACTGTGCTTTCCCCAGTACTATGACATTTCTGCAAAGAGTAACTACAACTTTGAGAAGCCTTTCCTGTGGCTAGCAAGGAAGTTGGTTGGCGATCCTAATCTGGAGTTTGTGGCTATGCCCGCACTTGCTCCCCCAGAGGTCCAAATGGACCCCGTTCTTGCAGCAAGATATGAGGAAGAACTTCAAGTGAGTATGACAATGAAGGTGTCATTTTTTTTACACTTATCGGGGTATCAATTTGCATTGGGACAGACATGATTCTTTTTTTTTTTTTTGTTGTTCTTGTAGGTTGCATCACAAACCGCACTCCCTGATGAAGAAGATGACCTTTAACCTGTTACTTGCATTGTCCCTCTATCCCTCTACACCGTGGACAGGAAGCTGTTGGAATTTTCCCCCTTACTGTAAAATCCCTTTTCAGATTTTTTATTTGACATTTTTTTCTGTTTTAAAGCTAAGAAAAACTTGGTGAAATGGTTGTTGTTCTAATTTCACTGTTAAAGACGCACCCACCCTAGTGTTGTCGTTGGCACGGCAATGTGCTACTCTTCATCGTCAAGCAACCACCACTGCACTTACCCAGCTCACATAATGCTGTTGTATGGTGTAATGGAGGCACTAAGTGAAGAAAACTTTGAATAAAAACATTCTCAATTTAAAATGTCTGTTTTTTTTTGTTTTTTTTAATGCCTTAAAAAATCATTTGGGGCCTGTGGCTTGTTTCCTGCATGTTATGCCCCCCTCTGTCTTTCTACACAATTTCTGACTATCCTCCTAAAAAATAAATCCACTGTCGGTTGATAAATACTTTGAATAGGCCTTCGTCTGTAGATTACAGTACATACCCTGAAATCAGGGGCTCAGGTCCTGTGTCTTTCTTGGCTTTAGTTTATGTTTAGGACTATTTATGTCTGTGCTAATAACATATCTCAATTGCTGTTTTCTATGCTCAAATGGGGCCTTGTTTTATATTGAACGGGCCAAAAACAAAAAATGCTTCATCACCAAACGACACTAATTTGCACACCTTGGGAACTGGAATAAAATGAGTGTGTAGTTTGCCTTGCACCATTGTTCTTGGTAGATGGCAGAGACGGATACAACGCAAGTATCAACACACGTATGTTCATCTTGCTGTTTACCACCAGATGTCAGCCATGTTCTTCTATTCTAATTGCTTTAGCCGTTGGCAACAACATTACGTAACAGTTTTATGTTGCACATTCCTTGTGACGTGTTTCTACTAGTTTGTAAACTTATGTTAAGTAGTTTCAACAAGGGGATATGCATTGCAGATATTTGTTAAATTCTTCCAAGTTGAAATGAGCATGATAAATATCTGAAATAATTCATATTCATATGTTTCTTCATATTTCTACAATATAAATGCTAGTCATGGCCAATTTAAATGTGCAGAATGAAAACAATAATATAATATATTGAATATGTAAAATGACATGGTGACTAGTCAAAACGTGTTAACGGGTATCAATATATTGCATTATGACCAGGGCAAGTTCAATTTTAGATATCTAGCTCTACAATTAGAATTATCACTTGAAATGATCCGATTGGGGCTAAATTCTGTATAATTTTAGCTTTTTAATAGCTCATTGACTATCTGTAATTATATTTAAGGTCTCAATTAAACATTTCTCCTTTTAATTATATATATATTTTGTACCATTGTCATAATGGCAATCAGAGATATCTTGAAAGATATTTTTAGAAAATGACATTCATGGTATCTAAAACGTCATTAGTCCAAGTCAATATTCAATTAAAGATATCTGTAAGTCCCTATAAAGAACAAGTAGCCAATTTGACAGGCATGTGCATTGGGGTTTCAATTTCAGATATCCACAAAGGCATTCTTTCTGTCCAGAATGAACATTGTCAAATATCTGCTTTAGAACAGGAAAATCTTCAATTTCAGACATCTACAATCCAATTGTTACTAGTCATCCTTTAATTCTATTCTAAATTAGGAAGATAAAAAAAGGCCATCCATACATAATGTAGCCTAATTTAGAAAATACAAAATACATGGTGACTAGCTGTCACACTTACCTATCAGGCAAAGGACATTTTCCATGTCTAAAATAGGATTCATGACTTAAAAACTTCAGTTTCAGATATCCAAAAAAGTATTGTAAATACAGTATATGTGGATATCTGTTTTATTTACATGATATAGATCATTTAATATTAACTATTATAGGCTATTTTAGATATGCATGAGCATATTTTTCCTGGTTAAAATACTTTTTTTACTCGTCAGAATGGGATTTGGAAATATGTGGAGTCACTAAAGTCCCCATGGCAAGCCGTTTTAACATTTGAAGTAAACACCTACCTATTACTAATACTATTTCAGATATCAATATTAGCATTTCTCAAATTCTCAATAGTAAAAAGTGTACTTGTGAATTCACTTTTGCAAATAATTGTGCATCGGTATTTCTATTTCAAATGTCCAGTTGTTAATAGTATTTTTTAAATGACTGTTTATAGTAAGGCCTACATAAGTTATTATGGATTTCAGCTGCAGTGTATGATTATTGGCACCACATTGATCCGGTGCATTGGCAGGTCACTCTCAAAGTTGCTCGATTCAGTTTAGTATTCAAATAGTTGTTATTCCTACAAACACCTGAATGCATCACTGGTGCAGGTGGCACAGGCGTGGCTTCATCTCAATGGAGAAGGACTTTTCTGCGCATGCGTGAGGCAGAAAAGTGCGTTTTAGAATGATTACTGGTGGCCAGCGGAGAGACAGATTATACAGCTCTACACAACTGTTGTTTTAATCCCCCGGGCGAGGAGATTTAGCAAAGAAAAAACACTGGTTTTAAACCCAGCAGCCATATTGCATGGAAAAAACGACGGAAAGACTCATCTATTTCATAAAAAGTCGTTTTCTCGGACATCTCTGTCAGGACTTTTGGGAAGTTAATTTCTTTTTCTTTTTTACTGGCTGTTTGTTTCTACCGGACAGCGAGCCTGCCAGCTGGCTGAGGACTTCAGAGATTGGGACTGGGGTTTTTTTTAATTTAAAAAAGCTATTTTGCACATTATTGTAGTGATCTGTCTTGGTCCAAAGGTGCAAAACTAACAGTGTAAAGATGAAGGACCGATTGGAGCAACTTAAAGCGGTAAGTAGTCTACAGGAAATGTGAAATATGGTCTCAATGGACCCAGTTAATGCCCTTTAAAAACATTTTCAGAGGAATACATGAAAGATTATGAGAATTAAAACACGTTTTAATACCTGAGACGTAACACAGCCTATTAATCAAACCACTGGTGTATCATGTGATGATTTGATGGAGGTGTCTGCACAGAAGGTTAGAAAATGATTAAAAATGGGGCCGTAAGGTCAAAGTGGTTCAGACATCAGTCACCTTTTTCTTTACAGTGTCAGAGATGTAGGCCTTCTGTAATGCAGCAAAAATAAATGTGTGATTATTAACCCTATTAAATTAACAGTTTTGATATTAATATTTAAAAAGAGTCGCCTTTTAATGAGGTTTTGGATTAGTTCAATATGATGTATTTTGGGCTTCCCTCAGTGTGACATTTAAACATGATGGATTCTGTTTTCAATTTCACTGACTTTACAGTTTGTATGAATTTGATATAAATTTATAAATAAAGATTCAGTTGGATTTTTTGTAGATACAAATATTGTTCCTTAGTAGTAGTATAAACACATGAAGTCACTGAAAGTATACTAATTGTAAAAAAAAAAAAAAAAAAAAGGTTCAGTATCCTCGTCTTGGATATTTCCACCCATAATCCTCTCTCACGTTTTGCACTTGGACTCAACCGTGTGATCACCAATCGTTTACCACGATAAGAAAGTCGATTACTCATATTATTGTTAAAAGTGAAAACCTGAGCTGGGGTAACGCTTTGATTCAGTTGAAAAGTTGGTAATATTTACAGTCTCTGGTTGAAACCTGAGTCAAGATGTGTTGCCATAGCTCCCTGAAACTGCTGGCACAAATATTTGCTGTGTTTAAAGTTGCTGAACTGCAGTAGGCTTTCCCTCAAGGCGTCTGTATCTCACATAGCTGGTTTCTTTGCAGGGAAAGGAAGTAGGCCTACAAAATGACACTGAGGGTGGCCAGTCATTTGTTGGGAAGTTGACGGTGCACATGTAAACACCTGTCAAAACTAGATTTTCTTGTCCTGTTTGCCTCCTTCTACATTTGAAAGTCCTCCTTCTTTACCTCTTTAATCCACGCTCACGTCTCCTTTATTGTCTTCCTTAAGGTTTCCTATCAAATGTTTAACTATCTGGCAGAGATCTAGACTGTACGTTAGTTTGTGTGTGTTTTTGAGGGTGGGTGTTGAGGCTTTCTGTTTGATTTCAGTCTTTAATCTTTCATGCTGTCCATCACCTGTCTGAATAGCTCAGGTATTAGCTTGTAGAAAAGTGTAACAGAGCTACTGTGGCTTCATCTGTGTGCACTGGCATATGGAGTTTTTTTTTTTTAAATCCCTTGTCAGATTTTAGAATTGCATTAACACAAGTCGTGATGGGAGTATTTGGCTTCTGTCAGCATGTTGCTGTAAAATCTGACCCCCAGGTCTGCACCCTGCTGGTGTCTGCTAATTTTCTAAAACATGCTGTGGGAAAATGTAGTGCATGAAGACATACCTCAGCCAAAAGATGATGTGAGAAATTCAGTTTATTTGATGGATAGCCCCTTGTTTTGTCCTTCCAGTTTATTAACATTGAGTCATATGGCAAGGAAAACACTTAAGTCCTTCAAAATGTGTGCCTGTTGTTTCAGCTCTATAAGCTTTGATAAATGCTTCGTTTTACTCTCAACGACCTTCTTTTTGCAGTGTTCATACACCATTGCAAACCGTTTATTGTGGGCTGTGGTTTTGTCATTTTTGACCCCTGGAGACAAAGTCTAAAACCACCTCCTTCTTTTAAGAGTCACTGGAAACATATGGATGAGGAGGGCAGAAGTGAAGCATGCCATGTGATTGGAGTCAAACTTGCTGGATTGTTTGTACTTCATTTTGGATGTTTTTTTTTTTTTTTGCCAAAGTATGAGACCAATAGGATTAGCTCAGTCTTTGCATTTTTATTTTTTATCTAGCGGTGGTTTTGATCATCTATTGTATTCCACATTAAAACTTGACTCTAATACTGTGTGATAAAGGAGCTAGTCAGTGCGCTGCATAGGAGAGGCTGAGGATCTCTGCTTTTGCCTTGTGAATTATGCAACTTGACATGTGGTGCTTTGCATGCAAGCAAGAGTAAGAGGTCGATTTGAATAAAGAGAACAAACCAGCATACATGCTAACATCAATCCGATGTGTACCAATGTCCAGCGTGTGTGTTGTTATTTTGTAATGTCGATGTCCAGCTGTTCTCTGGTGTGTAATCTTAGATTTACAATCTTCCTGTAGTATGGGATATACTTCATTTTTTGATTTAGGTTTAAAAAAAAAAAAGAAAGAGGAAATATAAATTGCTGCTTCAAGGTGTTCTCTGCCAGTCAACATTAAGCAGTCAATACCTTAATTATTTATGAAATGGTTTGAGAGTATGAATGCATGTTTTCTTATGAGTGGACCGTCATGAAGAAAAAGGCTGCAGAATACTTGAAAAATACTTTTGTAAAAGATTCCCGTGTGTGTGTGTGTGTGTGTGTGTGTGTGTGTGTGTGTGTGTGTGTGTGTGTGTGTGTGTGTGTGTGTGTGTGTTGTGTGTGTGTGTGTGTGTGTGTGTGTGTGTGTGTGTGTGTGTGTGTGTGTGTGTGTGTGTGTGTGTGTGTGTGTGTGTGTGTGTGTGTGTGTGGTGTGTGTGTGTGTGTGTGTGTGTGTGTGTGTGTGTCCGTTAGTCTGTCTGTTACTCCCATCAGTCCCTTGCCGCCCCCCCCCCCCCCATTTTTTGCTGAATATGAACACTGGAAGGAAGTGAGCGCCTGTTCTTATCTCGCTGCTTCAGAAGTGCTCTGAGAGGGAAAAAACATGCAGACCGGAGTGATACAGCTGTGTGTTCAGTGAATTATTCCACAGAGGTATAAAAAGTAACAAGCAATGTGTCGGTGGTTTGCAGGGAATCTGTTTTCAAACCTGTTGTTAGTTACTGAACTAGTCTTGACTACATTTGCAATTCAAATTTCAGATGAGAGAGAAGAAGGTAGATATAACATTTAAAACATTAGTGACATTGCAGAAGATGTCTTCCTCAGTAGGGCAGACACTTACGTTTATATTGTCAACTTTGACAAGAAAATATATGCAACACTCATATTTTTTCATCTCAAGGTAATGAATAATTCTGGCTCTGTGTACCAGGAAAAATCTGTTACTACCAAATGTTTCCAATTAAGGCAAAAAAAAGTCTTATTTGATATACTGGAACAGCCAAATGTTTATCAGTTTTACTTGATAACAGTCAGACTCACTCCATTAATCAATGATCAATTGTATGGGGATAAATATTCAGAAAAATGTCTACTCGATTAATGGATTTATTCTAGCAGCTTAGACGTTAACAAACCAAAAAAAAAAAAAAACTAATTTAAAATAACCCAACAATACACCAGAAAACAATGTAACTCTATTTGGGAGCTTCACAGAGCTCTTGTAAAAGAGCTGTGATGAAGATGTGAATTGAGACTCCTGGTTCAGAGAAAGAGGCAGTGTCAGGTGATCAGAAGAAGCAGGTCTGTTGCAGGTGTGTTGACCTGACATTTGTTAAGTCTTCTGTGCTTCACTCCTCAGGTGCTTGATGTACAGACTTGAGTTCGTCAGTGAATTGCAGAAGTGATTAAAAAAAAGGAGGGAACAAAGTTTCTCCGAATACCGTCACAGCACGGCCCTGTGATGTCTGTTCACACACGGAGCACTTTAGCTGTGGTTTCTTGTAAACAGTTGGGAACATGTTGAGTTCCTGGTGCCTGGCCCTCATCCCTCACCATGTCAATATTCACTGGCGGCTCTGAAGTCTTTGTGGCCGACCTGGGGCACAGTGCTGTGTTTACTGAGTGTCCCGTGTGACATACTTATGACTTCAGAGCTGTGAAGCTTCCTGATGGAAATGTAATGGGTGTGGACTGAGCGATATCACAGACTCGTATCATATGACACACTATGCTGATATCCACGAGGAGATTTGTGTTTGTTCATTTCCACTCGGTTACAGATGCAGGTGAGACAATAAATCATTATAGCAATATATCGTCATCCTGGCTCATGTGACACAATGATCTAATTGATGGCTAATATTGACATTTGTGATTAAAAGATAAAAGTCACTGTAACTTTGACTTACTTTGTTGCTGGTTCATTGTCCTTACATATTTCCAGTCATGGCGGGATACTCGACTTTACGACTCGTCTGCAATGTAACGTCTGAGCCGGCAGGGCGGAACAGTGCGTTGTTTGTGTGTGTGTGTGTGTGTGTGTGTGCATGCATGAGAATATGTGTATGTGAAGCATGCCGCTCATCAGTTATCATGAGTATCACTGTACTGCAATAAATCAATTAACCCTTTGTTGGCTCTCTGATTGGTCCACTAAGTCAACAATCTGTCTCGTCTTTGACCCTCGTGTCTGTTCGATAAATACAAAGCCCTGCTGGAGAGCACATGTTGGCTTAAAGAATGAACACTGTGTGGAAACAAATAGCCATAGGTGACATAGGTAACTGTGTCCACAGGTAACAAGTTCCACCAGCACCTTTAGAGCTTCTCATGAACACCATTTCTTGTTTGTTTTACCAAAAAGGATCAAGTAAAAACTAAAGGTTGTGCTTTCACAGGTAGAACTTGAGTATGAGGTTCCTTACGACCGTACAATGATGACAGAGACTCCAGGAAGTCTTCCTACTAGAGGTGGGGTAAAACATCGATACAGTATAGTATGGCGGCCAAGTATCGATATTTTTAATATGCTTTTTCAATTTTTAACTGCTTAAGGGGTTTGTACAATTCATTTCGAACAAGTTGCATTGTTAAGAATTCATGTTCAAGTTGGATTAGACTGAAATACAAATAAAAAGACTGAAGTGAGATGAACAGACTGAGAATTTTATCTTATTTGACTAAACAGTTCTTGATTTAGTTTAGTGTAGTGGACATAAATGCGTTTAAAAAGCAATTCTCAGCATATCGCAAAATGAATCAAAATCGTGTCTCGAGTATCGCAATAATATCGGATCGTGATTTCCACCCCTACTTCCTACCACATGTAGAAAATGTGTCTTCATTTGTAATGTCTTTGTTTCCCAACACAATGCTAGCCTTCAATTCACACACTGAAGAAAGGTATTACTGTGGTATCTCTACTGAGTCTAAGGTTTCATGCGACCTCCAGTTTCAAAACTTAAATATGACCGATCCTTATGGAGGAAAGAGAGCATTCACAAAGCATCAAGAGACAAATAACATATTACACTTACAGACTTACAGAAGTCTTACAGAAGAGGTGTTTGTTTTTTTGACCAGATGAACCCCATTAACATCTGAATGATTTTTGAATCCTGATGTTTTGATGAGCGTTATAAGAACATTTAACACTCTTCACATGACCACTGAGTATAGCTTGACCTGCTCATGCTCCTTTGACGCAGCCTTTGCTTTCGTCCTGTTAGACGTGTGATCAAGATGACGACGAGGTGGAGATCGCTGTGGACAACGCTGCCTTCATGGACGAGTTCTTCTCTCAGGTCAGCGGCCACGATCGGTGCATTGCGGCACTCGTCTTTCACGAGGGAATACACTCCACAATATGAGTGATTGCTGTTTGTTTTTGTTTTTTTTTAACACATGAGGTGTATGTTTTGTGTATTTGTTTCAGATCGAGGACATCAGGAACAGTATTGATAAAATTGACGAGAATGTCGCTGAAGTCAAAAAGCTTTACTCCATCATCCTGTCTGCTCCCACATCAGATCAGAGTAAGATGCTTAATCACTTCCTGCTTTTATATCATGACTGACTGACCTACATAGAGAAACGTAAAACTCCACTGATGAGGTTTCCTTAAAAAGTGGAACTTTATGCTAAGCATTGTTTTACCCAGTCACAAACATACCATAGTCTTAAAGCATCACTTTGAAACCTGTCATTTAAAGCAGCTGCACGTTTAGGAAGGCACATCTTTCTCTGCTTGTATAAAATGATGTCTTGATTTGAGATATCAGGTTGTTGTTTTTTTTTTGTTTGTTTATTCCCATGTGTCTGTCTTCTCAGAAACACAGGATGACTTGGAAGCAATCACCAATGACATAAAGAAGATGGCCAACAATGCAAGAAACAAACTCAAGAGTGAGTCCGCCTGCCACTATCCCACAAAACACATTTTGAACCACTACTGTATGTTATTTGCTCTTGGTTTGGAGCTGAATATTAAATCATTGGTTTGGATTTCTCCCCAGCCATCGAGAGGAATCTGGAGTCTGAGGAGCAGGAGAGGGTGTCTGCTGACATGCGGATACGTAAATCACAGGTAAATCATTGTGATGTGACGTTTCAGTCCGCTTTCATTAGAATACTTTTTAAAGGAGAATGAGTGTGCGCTCTCATCAGTTATTATTCTGGGAAAACATTTTCCATTTTCCTGAAACTCAAAGGGCAGTGTTCATTGGAATGATTGGAATGATCATGTTCTGATAAAGGAACTGCAAAAAAGCTCTGTATGAATACTAGAGATCTGCACTATGTTCATGATACTGTGAAGGTTAATAAAAAGAGGACTGGATGAAAATGTAAAAGCTCATGTGTATTTAATTTTTTTTATTCTGATAATGAAACAGTGCACCTTTAAAACCACACTGCATCTTCAAATGTAACATCTTTTAAACATCTTTTCATCATTATTAGAAACATTTATTTTTCGCTCGAGATTGTATCTTTGACATTTGACAGCCTTTAAAAGTATGTTCATATCTCTACCAGTATCTCATCCGGATTACCTCTGTACTAATTTGTTCTTTTTTCGTTTTTTTTTTTTCGCCCAGCATGCTGTGCTGTCAAGGAAGTTTGTGGAGGTAATGACAAAGTATAATGAAGCCCAGGTGGACTTCAGAGAGAGGAGTAAAGGACGTATTCAGAGACAGCTAGAAATCAGTGAGTTATCTCTTTACACATGTGACCAGAGAGTCTCACGCTCGCTCAAGTCATTAACACTATACATTTCCTTTCCTTTCCTTATCCAGCTGGGAAAGCAACAACAGATGATGAACTGGAGGAGATGTTGGAGAGTGGCAATGCAGCAGTGTTTACTGCAGGGGTAAGTGTGTGTGTGTTTGTGAGAGGAAGGCCAGGTAGTTAGTTGCTCAGTAAAAGTTCAAACTCCTCGTCTCAGCTGCTTAAAGATTAGCTTTGTTCATGATTTAGCTTGTTGGGCTTAAAAGGGCCAGTTGCCTTTTTTCTTCCTTGCTGAGCGCTTTAAACTTCTTTAGACAATCTATCTAATAAACAATGTGACATTATTTTTTTAAAAAAAGGACATAACTATAACTATTGATTTGAGGGTTTGTTATTTTTTCAGTATTCATTAAATCCCTGCACATTGTGACAGAGGTTGTTGTAATGTTTAGTTTGGATCTGCTTGAAACAATTTACAATCATCAAACAACCACATGTGAACAAGCATTTAAAACTGGTGAGAAAGCCTCACTGTGCTTCCCTGATCGTTTCTATTTTCCGAACATGAGAGAAAAATTCCTTGCACAAGGGAAACACAACTTGTCTTCACATTCACAGATCTGATCACAACAAAAGGTCTCACATGCTTGACATAAAGATAGATGTGTGGGGGTTGATACATTTCAATAATGACAAATTACAAATGAAATGTATAATAATTAAAAAGCGTGTGTTTCGTGTCTATGAGATGGCTTGTCCAAACAGTGAACATACCCCACCAATGTTTCCATTTCCTCTTTTCAAAGGTCATTTATTAACTTTTTAAAAATGTAAACAACAAGTAATAAAACAGTACTACGCAACAATCAAAACGCAGGTCAAACAAAAACAGATTAATAAGTAATGATATGCATAATCCTGAAAACCTTCGTTCACTTATTTAAACATTTTATTTGTGGGAAAAAAAAAACGTTACTGAAACCTTTCTCACTTTTGTAATCATGTAATGCTGCTTTTCAGTTCTCACTTAAAGTGTGATACATGAGCAGGACTGTTCGGAGAAGTTTGAGCCTTTCTCAACTGCCAACAAAACCATGACCTTCCCCTTTTATCCAGTAAGGCTAACTGTGGTTGCGATGTTTTATGAACTTTTGTTTACTGTTAAACCAGCAGGAGCAGAGAACTGTACACATGTTTCTCTTTTTAGATATATTAAGACCTTTTTAGATATATAAGACCCAGGCCACCGACAGATTTTGATCTACAAACAGATATCTGACTTTGCTGGTTGTTTGTGTATCAATAAACATCTCCTCTTCACAGATTGTCGACTCTGGCATCTCTAAACAAGCCCTAAGTGAGATTGAAGCCAGGCACAAAGACATTGTGCGCCTGGAGAGCAGCATCAAGGAGCTCCATGATATGTTTGTAGACATTGCCATGCTTGTGGAGAGCCAGGTACAGTGATTTACATCCACCTGCCTATCACGTCTCGTTCTCATGAGCTTTGTATCTACTTCATTCATGTATCCATTCCTTTCATGTATTCTTAACCCCTTTGTTCTTTTCTACCTGCATTCACCTTCGTCTCTAGTTCTTCTGTCTCCTTGTCTCCGGTGTGCTTTGACCGAAAATCTGCATCCATCTGTTTCCTCTTTTTTCAGCTCCATGCCTTTCTTATTCCTCTCTTCACACTCCTTTGCTTCTGCCACCTTCATCATCTCATTACCTAACATGGTTGAACCATCGTGAAAGCGTTCAGTAAGATGTACTTAAAGCCTTTGTGTACACATTAGAGCTAACTTGCCACACACTTAGGAATAAATATCCAAAGTCTAACCACATATTTCTTGCTGCTTGCACCATGCTTTCCTGAGGGAAACGTTTGTTTGAGGTAAGTGCAACAGTCCTGCTGTGTGTCTTATTTGATTATCCCAGGACACCTGTTTTTCTTCAGCATTTTATTCCATGTTCTTAGTTTGGACAGAAAAGATGTTCATAAATGTGAAATCTAGTCTGACACTGAAAACAAAACACAACCATCAGAAAAAGTGTTGGTCTTTTAATTTTCATCACATCTGAAAATGTTTGTACTTTAACTTATTCAGCTCTGTATCTCATTGTTTTTCATGTTGTTTTTCAGGGAGAAATAGTAGACAACATAGAGCAGAATGTATCCAAATCAGTGGACCACATAACGGTGGCAAAGGAGCAGACCAAAAAAGCTGTAAGGTACCAGACCAAAGCACGAAAGGTAACGTCAGTGAACCGACTGCTGCACCCGCCGGCTCTTGACCTCTTCCCTTATTTTTCTGCCTACTTCCTACGCACATTGTTTTCACAGTTTGTCACATTGAAGCCGCACAGTTTGTGCACGGATAACACTCCCTCCCAAAGCAGACACAATGCCAGTCACTGTCAACTGTTGCATGCCGTGTGATTCGCTTTGTCTTTCCTCTCTCTGTGCTCTTCAATTTGTTACAACTTCCTCCAACACCACAACCCCATGTTAGGGTGGAATGATTGAAAGGATCGAGAGCAACATGGACCAATCGGTGGGCTTCGTGGAGCGTGCTGTAGCGGACACTAAAAAAGCCGCAAAGTTTCAGCAGGAGGCTCGCCGTGTGAGTGAACACAGCAGGGAAAAGAGCAGGCCTGTTTCCCAAAAGCAGCAGAAATATTTATTATAGTTTACAGAAACAAAACCGTGATGGCCTTGAGATGGATACTTTTCTAATTTACATTCAGATTGTGTGAGGTTTAATCGGTGGTAGAAAGAAAGTTCATACCGAGGGCAAAGACTGAGAAAGACTCAAGGTCACAAGTCTGACACAGTGGTAGAGTATCATAAAGTTAAACAATCCAAGTCTTTAGCCACAACACAATGTGACATATTAGGTAAGGCAATGTGTCAGCTGAGCACACTTTCAAAGTGGATCATTTTGGAACACAGGATTCCTATATCTATGGGAAAAGATCAAATGGAGGTGGAAATCTGCCCCGCTGTGAAATATTGTAGCATCTATTCAGCCTTCAGACTCATTGCATCTGCAACCCAACCTAGTCTTGCTACATCGCATGTCCTAGTTTCACCAGGACTGACGACAGCACAGTGTCCACCCTTGTTTGTTAAAGGTGGATAAAAGGCTTTTGGGAAACTTGCCTGACAACAAGAAGACTGTTGACATCATCAAAACCCTGATCATCACCACGTGGCCCCAAATCCCTCTTGGCTCCTCTGTTCCTGAGTGTCCTCCGCTCTGTGGCCTGTTGGACCCCCCCCGTGCTTTAAAACCCACTGACCTGACCATCACCATAACACCCTCCCACCAACTTACACTTAGACATACACACACAACAACAGCATACACACACTCTTTTTCTCTCTGCCTCTTCTCTTCAGTCTTAACTTTTTATTTATTTTACAGCTAGCTCATGACGACTGCATATTTCTTTTTTTTTTTTGGGAATGTGTTTGACGATATCACAGGTTAGCTCACGCCTGTTACACGCATGTCTGTGAAAATAACTTTTCTATTTCCAGATTGGCATCGGGTCAACACTGCTAGGCCAACATTTAACTGGACTATCCTTACTGGATTGTTACTTCATTGAAATAATGAAACACTGAGTTTGTGCAAGTTACCAAGCTACCAAACTAGTTCTTGATATTTGATATAGCCATTGTTTTTGTATTTTGCACATGTTCCCTCATACAAAACTACTAGTTACAGTATGTGACATGCTGTACTTGATTTCATAATGAACGCATTAATGAAGGATACAATTTTGTTCATGTTTCCCACCAACAATGACCCTGATGAGTCTGTGTGCACTTTGTTGTTCCCAACAGAAAACTGTGATAATAGTGGTGGTTGTGGTGATCTTACTGGCCGTACTAGCTCTCATTATCGGGTTGTCAGTGGGATTATAGTGAAGCTGATGAGCTAGTTGAACAGGAGAGCTAAAGGTGAGTAACTCCGGTGTAAATAACCTCCGTAATGCGACAATGGGTGGGTGTGGGTGTGAGGCTTGCTTTGGAAACGGCTTTGCACGCTCTTTATCTCCAGGCTCTGAATGTTTGTGTCTTCCTCTCCTGAGGGCTGAAGAGAGGTGTGTTTAGTGTATTTGAAGTTCTTAGGTGTGTGTGTGTGTGTGTGCTTTTTTTTCCTATTCTCCTTCTCTTGCTTCTGGTTACTGCTGGACAAACAAAGCAGTGCTAGTGGTGAGGTAGTGGTACAAATGTTTAACTGGTGTTTGGTTTGCCGCCTCATTTCAGTTCTCATGTTCACCATCCTCATTTTCACTTTTTTTCTCCACATCTGTCTCTCTCTCTCTCTCTCTCTCTCTTGTCTGTTTAGAAGAAGATCATTATTGGAGAATCCTGTGCTGTGGATATTCTCGTCATCCTCATTCTCACCAACCTCACCCTCCAACCCACCTCAGTTAGTTCGCCATGCACTCAATCCTGCCGTCCATCAGCCAGCTGACCAAATAGCCAACCAAATGATTCTGATCTCTTCCTTCTGGAGGTCTAGGGCTTCATATGACCTCTGCTGTAACAGAATACTTACGAGGCCTGACTCGACTTTAAAACTTTTTGACCTTTGGCCAATCAGAACAGTCCTTCGGGGGCCTTTGAGTTTCTGTTTGACTCCCTTTAAGTGACTCGGACAGTTTGAGGATGCTCTGCTGCAGAAGAGAAAAACGAGAGTGAAGCTGACATGAAGTAGAAAAAAACCTATTGTATCTCTTCGGAGGGGAAAAGGGAATTGAAAATAACTGATTGAATGTCTCTCCACTCTCCCTAAACATTTCATTGTCAAAGAACCTCCTTCATCGTCATTTCATGCCTTAATGAGCCTTGAAACATTGTGTGATTGAAAAGCTAGCTACTGTATGTTCACTGTATCTGGATTTTGTTAGTTTTGGGAAGTTCCAGCACTTTCACGTTTCAAAATAAATCTTATTCCTGTAATTACGTTTAGATTATGATGTAAATTATATCAGTTTTTAAACTTGAAGAATACCGCTGTGCTCACTTTTTTTTTTTTTATTGTTTCTGAGGGTGTGACTACAATGATGGAAACATTTCATAGACAGGTGGAGCTAAGATGAGCAAAAATCACACAAAATCCAGGTGTGGGGGGATGAACACGCATGTCTTGCTTTATGATTTATCTAACCACTATATCATCTGAGAGAAATGCCAGATTTTCCGTTTTTGTAGCTTTGCTCACGTCCTATAATGTCAGCCATCTGAACTTTTTACACATAGAAGGCTGTAAAAAGCATTCTAAAGCCAGATGGTGTGAAGTAACACTCAACCTTTTTCCTTCCAGTGCCACATTAGTCTTTGCATTTATTTAAATGCTAATGAGGTTTTGCAAATAAAGGTACACATACAATAAAAAGTGTAAATGGACATTCCAAAATACAGCAACGTCTTCCATTGCGCTTAAATACTGGAGTATTTTTCCTGCCATATTTCGAGTACATACAGTCTAATCGAACTGCCTTGCATTAAGTCTGCATGTTCATGAAGGTTATAAAGTTATTTTTTTGAGATATGTTGCTGTGGAGATATGTTGGCAACACTTCATGGACACTTTAGAGGCAGCAGTTTGTGATGCTTTTGAATTGTGTTGCATAATAACAAAGAGGTGTCAAATAGTTTTTCACCACTTATACTGATATGAACAGAACAATGCTCCCATAGAAATAGAAAAAAAGTATAACCCCGTAAAAAGACCATGAATTTTAAACAGCACTTTTAAGTAGTAAAACCTGAACATAATAACCATCTCTGTTAAAGTCAGGCAGAGTCTATCATGTATGGCAAAATTGACGTATGGCTTTTGTTTCAGACTGCAAATGCAAAACGGTTCCTTCTGGTTGATCATCTTTCACTGCCTTACAGTCCATTATTGTCAGTCAAGAAGGGGTTAAATGATTTGCACCTCCACTGAGAGAAGTCTTTGTTTCTGTCAGATCCCAGTTTGAATGGGGCTTTTAACGCTGCTTGTTTGGGGAGCACTTGAAAGTGAGAGGCCTCCCTCAGCTTGCTCTTTTGACCACACAGTCTGCTCTTTTGGCTCCTGTTCTTAACCATTCAGTCCTAATGTTTCTATTCACCTCCTTTTATTTTTTTCTTCACACCACTTTAGCAGTGAGCACGTGCTGCAGTAACACAATGGGAAGCTGAAGATGTTGTACAGTGTAAATGTTAAATTAAGATGATTTTAAAGAAAAAATAAAGATGCTATGTTTTTTAACCACTGACTTGTACTTTTTTCTGCACTTCTTTGCTGCTACTGACGGATTCTAAATATGTAACTGAATTTTTACACTTTTGATGATGTAGCTTGTTAAGGAAGAACTGTGTGACTGCTTTAATGGGATGTGTGTAGCTGTCGTCAGCAGATTGTTGATACAGCTTGTTAACCACTGTGTTGCAAAGTACAGTTTTTTTAAGAGCTTTCACGAGTGTCAAAGGAGGTAGGTTTGTCCCTTTTACACACCCTTTTATTTCTCTTTACACACAAATACACACATATCCTAACATATGTGACCCACCTCTCATAATCTACTCCATCAAAAAAAAAGAAGTGATTCATAAATGTGAGTTGTTATGTTATGTGATTTCCTGCTTCGTGTGACTTGATGTCTTATTTTTCAGTGGCTGCTTTCTGATAACAGTTTTATTTTTTTAATCAAACCAACAGAAAAAGATGATGATTACTTTGTGCTGTGCCATCATTGGGATCGTTGGGTTCTCCTATCTCTACAGCTTCTTCTCATAAATGATTTTACTCAGGTAACAACACCTGCTTCATCTTATTAACTCTATGAACTCTGATCTCCCGAGGAATGTTAAAAATGATGACTCCTTTTTTTTTTTTTCTGTCTTTGTGTTGTGTTTCTAGGAAAGCCTGGTTTAAAAAAAAAAAAGACTAAACTCCCTGAGGTGCTTCTCCTATTTTATTACCCTACCCATCTTTGAATCTGCAATGAAATCTTACAAAGTCTTAAAAAAAAGAACCATTATCAGTCCTGTAATCCCCTACATTTTATCATTTGGATTTGATTAATTTACTTTCTGTATGAAGTGTTTGAAAACGTGTTATAAATGTATAGTGTTTCCAACCACATGATTTAACGTGTGAACTGAACTTTTTTTTTTTTTTTTCGAGTGTAGTTTACTGCTTTCTGGTGGTGCATAAAGGGAACAGCCAGTATAATATTAATAATCAGGAGATCATTTTTAGGGATTTATTGAAAGTGAAAGTAGTAAGAATGCATGGAGAAAATGTTTGTGCATTAAGTAACCCCCCTCCCCCCTGAACATTCATGAGCTTACACGTTTTTATGCTCTGGTATAAAATAACCATTGAAGTAGTATTTTCTGAATTGCATGTTGTCATAATTTGATTACATTGTGTGTGATTTTGGTTGTGTGTGTGTGTGTGTGTGTGTGTGTGTGTGTGTGATCTGTTTGCTTCCTTGCTGCAGAAACGCATGTATCGATGGTCTTAATGTGAATCACTCGCTGTGTAAACCCAGCAAAGCTGTTATGTAATAAAAGATTTCTGTGCGTTGTACCAAGTGTTGGTGTCTGTCCTTCGCCCCTTGTACTCGACAGTGTACATGGGGAGACCCCTTATGGCCATTCTTCTACTTAACACGGAGGAGGCTATGTAGTCCAAGTAAAGGGTGTTTTAATCTCTTTATGTGAAAACTCCAGCATTAGTATGGCGATGCACGACAGGACGTCCGTGTGATAAAGGCTTCCGTGACCTCATTTCATCCATCTCGCTGTTCATCTAAACCAGAGGCAGGCACAACGCAACGACATCCCGATGGGCGGGGTCTATGCAAGGGTGCGTTCGTTTTAGCTGCCTGGTGTGCAATGGCGAATCAGAACTCTGAATTTAGTTGCAAAGATGAGAGAAAATGATGATTATTGTTGCCCAATGAGATGTGGCCAAGAAGCAGCACAGACTAGATGTTTTGTATTTAGGTTAGTCGAAAGTTTGGACATGAAAATACGATACAATATGAGAAACTGAGATTTATACATCATAGTGATGTGTGTGCATAAATTGAATCCACAAGCAAACTGCATGTTTCTGGCAATTCACACCAAAGTGTAATAATGCTTTCAGTTCTCAAAAAAGTAATTATGCCATTTTTATAATTGTGTAAAATGTATGAAAATATCGACATATTCATAGAATAGAATTACTTTATTGATCCCAAACTGGGAAATTGTGGTGTTACAGCAGCAGGTTATACAACACACAATATGAGTAAAAAAACACAATGTTAGCAAATCTAAACACAATATGATATTAAATACAAAGTAAATAAGCACTAAAAATATCAAAACTAAGAATGTGACCATATACAACCAGGATTTAACTTAGCATTACTAGTCTTAAATAGGAAGATTAAATATGGAAGATTGAATGTAAATGTGCAAAAACAGAGTCGTAAAGGGTTGTAAATTAAATATGAAAGATTAAATGTAAATGTGCAAAAACAGAGTTGCAAATGGACAGTATTGACATAAGTTAAAGTACATGAGTGAAGCCAAATGAAGTGAGCATGAGTGCAGGGACAATTTGTAAATTTAACATGTGCAGAACAGATTACAGTAAGGAGAGACAGATATTATCATAATAACAGATAATAGCCTATATCTAAAATATAATATCAGCAGTAGCCTATATAAAAGCATATAAATTAAGCACAGCTTTTCTTTTAGTATCTGTTGGCCTACATTAGTTAACAAATCAGTCCTAGCAGTGTTAGTATAGAAATAGCAGAAAATAAATTATGGAAACTGTAGGCTACAGTAGGCATTCATTGTAAAACAATAGGTCAGGATTACGTCTACATTATGGTATAATAATAATAATAATGCAATTTGCTGCCAACGTGGCTCTATACATAATCTGCAAGAGAGAAGAAAGTGTACTGAAGAAATGTTATTACACTGACTCTACCTTTAACATACACAACATGATATAATATTGTAATCATGTTTAACATACACAACATGATATAATATTGTAATCATGTTTAACATACACAACATGATATAATATTGTAATCATGTTTAACATACACAACATGATATAATATTGTAATCATGTTTAACATACACAACATGATATAATATTATAATCATGTTTAAGTCAAAGTCAAAGTCAAAGTCAACTTTATTGTCAATTTCAAAATATGCCAGACATACAGTGGAATCGAAATTGCGTTTGTCTCCGTCCCACGGTGCAATACAACCAGAATAAGGTAAAATAAGATAAGGTAAAATAAATAAAATAAAATAAGGTAAAATAAGATAAGGTAAAATAGATAAAATGAAATTAGGTAAAATAAGATAAGGTAAAATATATAAAATAAAATAAAGGTAAAAATAAGATAAATAATATTTACAGTAATAAATTCTAAATTGTGCAAAAGGTACAAAATGGTAAACAAAATAAAATAAAATGTAAAGAAAAAGTAACACACGCAACATGATATAATATTATAATCATGTTTAAATGGCATTTACTGTGTCCAATGAGGGATCTGTGATTATTCACGGAGCGGTAGACTAAATAGGGGGTGGGTAGTGTGCTTCTTTTTTTTTTTTCTTATTCTAATGTGTGTGAATGTATGTGTGTGTGCGCGTGTGCGTGCGTGTGTGTGTGTGTGTGTTTTCTGACCAGCTGAAAATGGCGGCTCGAAGCGTCGACTCGTCCTAACTTTATCGCACAATAATAAACACAACAATACACACAGCTGTTATATCACACAACCATGGGGAGAAACTTCACCGCGGGGCCCCGGGCGCTCTAGTCGGGAGACATTACTCTGAGCACCGCGGCTAGAAGAAGGAGTTAAAACGCGAAAGGTAAAACGATAAAGAAGCTTACACCTGCGGTCTACAGGCTAATGTCAACTAGCCGGCTAGTTAGCTTAGCCGACGATTTTTATAAAAGGGATTGCCAAGTGAGCCTAATGTTTACGTTTTAACGCCACCTTAAAATGACACACTCGCTTAAAATGTGCACATTGTTAGATTCCTGCTCTGCTCAGCTCTTGTCATTATTCAGCGACGCATGTTCAGCATTAAATGTTTGTAATATTGTGTTGCTAGCCTTAGCTTTTTGTAGGCTAAAGGAAGCTACGGCTAGCCTCAGCTCCAAAAAGAGGGGTGTGTGTGTGTGTTTCTGTCCGACAGAATGTAAAAACACACTCCTAACACTGTAGCCCCACTCTTTATTTTAATCAGGTGTAATTGAAGGCCACTCTTTGAAACTTTGTGCGTCTCTTCCAGGGAGCCATGGAGGATCCTCACACACGGTACAGCAAACGCCTGGTGAGTAACACACTGTTAGCATCCCGGGACACTTTCTGTTTTACATCATAACAATACATCTCTTAGTTGTCTTATCTTTCTTCACAAGGTGGCCTAATGTAACTGCGACTGTATTCTTTTATATTTGTCAATCACTGCATGTGGAGTAGTCCATTCTTGTGCACATTGTGTGATAGTTGTGAGTGTTTTTTTTTTTTTTTTATGACGGTAATGAACCTGTCTAAAGACTTAAAGTTCACCAAAGGGTCAAGTTCGCCTCCTAACCTGACAGCATCTGTACTGTGACCTTGCTTTACCCCTTTACAATCTTAGCAGCTAGTTGTTAAGTACTTATATTACTCACCTTTTTGCCCCCAAAAAAATCTGATAAATATTATCAATATAGTGTGGAAATGAGATCAAATTTAACCTTTCTGATTGTATAGATATGTGTGTAAAAAACAACAACAACAACCTTATAAACTAGTTTAAACATTGCTGTTCACACTAAAACTTGAAACTCTGTGTGAAGTGTTGCCTTATTGTAAGTGATTGATTGCCTTCTCATTGTAGTGACACTCTGTGAAAACAACACACTGGGTGGTTTCTGTTATATTAAATATTGTGCATTAGCGATTTTACGTGATACTGTGCATTCTCTAGTGATAGAAAGGAGGAGGAGGACCAGAGTTTAGATAATACCACATTTGTAGTAAAGCGATGGGGGTGGGGGAGATGTAAGTGTGTGTGTGTGGGGGGGGGGTGTTGTTCTTTATCCATCTGTCTAGCCGAGCAGTTGTGCATCGAGTGAATGGCAGAGGGGGAGTTAGAGGAGGGGGCAGTCTGTGGAAGATTAACCCCTGCTATTGTAATGCCATATTGTTTGGTTCCCACATGAAGTGATTTGATAGTCGGCTGACTGATTAGTTTGGGTTGATTTATTGTAATATCCTTGATCCTTGTATTGGTGCTTTCAGGCATACGTTTGTCACTATTAACTCTTTAATATATAGATATAAAATACAGCTACTGTGGTTTTTAACTAATTTCTTCAACAGCACCAAGATGCTTGCCACTTTGGGAGCACCAGCATACCGGTGTCGTTCATGGCATGCGAGTTTTCCAGCGACATCTGCCCGTACACTTCGTTTGGTGACATGGCATCATAAATTCTGCGGCATCTGCTGTGGTTATCCAACAGGGGGCCAGCGCAGCGTACCACTTTCTCGTACCAGTATTGCCCATCTTCCACCACCATCATGCATTTGTTTAATTAATACCAGAAGTATTGCTTTATGACATTCACTGTTGTAATTGTGTACATTTTTTGTCTTCATTGACATTGTGAGTGCAACAAAGAGATGTTATCAAATGACTGTACATGTTTCACATTTTTAGTTTGGTATTTCCATGATGACAGTCAAGTAGTTTCAGGTCCAGCACCATGTGCCGTTTCTTAATAAAACTGTTCTGTCTTCATTACGTGGCAGTTAAAAGCTGTGAATGAGAAGACGTTACTAAATGTAATTATAGTGCCCCTCCAAACTACAAATGTTCTATATACATGAGAAAGACACGTTTACATTCGTTTGATAACATAACTTTGTTGCACTCACGTTGTCAATTAAGACTTTTTTTTTTTTTTTTTTTTTTTTTTTTACACATTTATGGTCGTAAATGTTGTAAAGCTAGATCATGCAATTAATTTGAAGAGATGCCACACTGGTGTGAGAGTGGAGTTGGTACATGGCGATTCCATTAGCTACGACAGATTCCACAGAACTTATTACGCCATGTTGCTAAACTAAAATGCCACAGGCCACTTTTCAATCTTGGCGTCACTCCATTTCTTTGCCTTTAGACTCCACAAGGTATATTCCTAAAATACTTCTAGCAATGTTGTAGAGGGTTATTGAAGGTAGATTGGAAAGCACCAGCTTCGGGTCGTGCATCAGAACAAGTCACTAAGTCAAGTTTTCTCACCTAGACAAGCTTGGTGAAGTATTCAGTGCTCATTGTTAAGAAATGCCACCATCCCTTACAATGCTCATCTTACATTATTTATCTCACAAGCAAATCCCAAAACTGCTTTTTTTATTATAACTTTTTACAAGTATAATCTTGACATTAGCATTGCTGCATGTCTCGTTAGCTGCTGTATCCCAGCTTTGTCATTGCACTTGATCTCTTCATTGCAGTAAGGCATCCCATATTTCTCTCTGACAGTTAGTCTTGCACTATTTGCCAACACTTTCTGTTGCTCACTGCAAAACTGAAAAGGTAACGTTGAACTAAGAAGTGAAAAGAATCCTTCTTTTGTCCTCAGCGTACAGGCACGCGGCGGCGCTATCAGGATGATGGAATCTCAGATGATGAAATTGAGGGGAAACGAATGTTCGACCTGGATGAAAAGTTACAGTGCGTCAGATTCAACTCTGAATTGATCAAACACATGGAGGGTAAAGGTGAGAGATTGAAAAAGTTCACTAAAAATGTTTTAGTTAAATCTTAACAAAATCATATCATATTTCATGTGAATGTAATAAAGCTGCCTGTTCTATATGCTGTGTATGTCTCCTTTCTAGATTTCACATTTGAATACATCCAGAGAGAAGGGCTCAGGGACCCCATTATCTTTGAGACAGCTGATGGCCTTGGAATACAGTAAGTCAGATTCTCATCATTTAGCCCGGATTACTATTTGTTTGCTAAACACACAATGAAAATCATTTAAAAGCAAAAGCCAAGAAATGTTTTTCTTTTCTCTTGCAGAATGCCAGACCCTGAGTTCAGTGTGAGTGACGTCAAGCTGTTTGTTGGTAGGTTTCTTTTTCCTGACCTCTCAGAATAAATGGCATTACTTTTTTTGCTGCTTGTAGAGCCAGACCAATACATATGCCAGGATGATGCATTTTAGGGTTCTATTGTTGTTGATTCCAAGGTATGTATGGGATTACTTGGACAATAATTCTAAGGTGTTGCTGATGTGAAATACTAAAGATGATTTGAGTTTTTTTCCTGCGCATTGTTTTTCCACCAGAGAGAACTGAGAAGTTGATCTAACTGCACTGTAACATTAAAGTAATCAATGGGCAATACACAAAACAACAGTTGTAGGGTAATTGTATTACACTGGTCTCACTTGTTGTTGAACCCCTTTTTCTTTCTCTTACAGGTAGTCGACGCATTGTAGACGTGATGGACGTGAACACCCAGAAAGGAATTGAGATGTCGATGGCTCAGTGGCGACGCTACTATGAGACGCCACCGTCAGAAAGAGAAAAACTCTACAATGTTATCAGCCTGGAGTTCAGCCACACCAGACTGGAGAATCTGGTCAAACGACCAGCTTCGGTGAGAACACCTCAGGGTGTCAAAAAATCCCAGATTGGCACATTAAAATGAAACATTTTAGAACTCACACCTGTGTGCCACAAAAAAGGAAAAACCAGAAAAGTCAGTAAAGAGACTGAAACGTTATCTGTATTTGTCTGCTACTTTGATGTTGAAATAGCTTAGGTTTGTTAAAAGTACCAACAGAAAGTTGTGTTTGTTTTGAAAGAGTGTTTTACGTTTATACCACTTCCTTAATACTCAGGTGGATCTCATTGATTGGGTGGACAACATGTGGCCTCGCCATCTCAAGGAACGACAGAGAGACTCCACTAATGCCATCATAGACATGCATTATCCCAAAGTACAGAAGTAAGTAATCAAGAGTAAATACATACATACTATTAACTCTACTGTAGTCAGGAGAATTGATTAATATATGTTTTTCCATCTGAAATCTAAATCATGTTTTTCCTCCTCACTTTGTTCCTCTCAGGTACTGTCTCATGAGTGTGCAGGGCTGCTTCACTGATTTCCACATTGACTTTGGAGGCACCTCGGTCTGGTACCACATCTTGCGAGGAGGAAAGGTCAGTCTAGGTGTCCATTCACAAAAGAATTGTAGATTCATGCTACCTGTACTGACCCAGTGGACACAAGTTGTAATAAGGGACAGCCATTTATTCAGTTACATCTCAGAATGAATGTGAAAGTCATCCATCTAACTTTTCTACTGTATTTTGACATTTTTATTATTTATTATGATAATCTCCCATACATAGACATAAATGACCTTTAACCTGTGACCCCTGCAGGTGTTCTGGCTGATTCCACCTTCACCACAGAACCTGGAGATGTATGAGAACTGGGTTTTATCAGGAAAACAGGGAGACATCTTCTTGGGGGACAAGTGTCATGACTGCCAGAGGATAGAGCTGAAGCAGGGCAATACCTTCATCATCCCATCAGGTTTGTAACTGTCACACAATAGTGACACACACTGGTATGAAGTCTACAAAGTTACATGCATTGTCTCTACTTCTACATGAGTTTATCACCCTGTGCCTTGTATGTTGTAGGGTGGATCCATGCTGTGTACACCCCAGAGGACACATTGGTGTTTGGGGGAAATTTCCTCCACAGCTTTAACATCCCCATGCAGCTTAACATCTACAGTATTGAGGATCGCACACGGGTAAGTAGCACCTCGCATTCACTATTCATTTTTTTCTGCTGTTTGAAAGTAGCTGTCCTCCTGACGCACTGATGATTGCTTTACATTTTGAGATGATGCAAGGCATGATTATTTTTCTGTGGGTATTACTCACGATAGAAAAACTGGTGAGAGTATCATTTTGACTTTTATTTTGAGGACATAAATCATTACACTTCTGCAGTGGGCACGTAAACTGGTAGCTGACCATTTTGTTACAGACCTCGAGTTTGTAATTAGTGCATCTTTATATTGATCAGTTTAAATAAACAGAAGAGTCATATAATAAAGCCGTAGTCACATGAATGTGTTCTACTTCAAAGGTGCAACATGTGGACACTTCAGTCTGTCTTTTTCAGTCACCAGAAGTTGAGTCCTCTTCAGCAAACACAGTCTTCCTTGGTGGGACAATTCAAAGCATTTTGTTTGAATTCTTGTAAAAGTTTACCGTAGTTGTGCTTGGCAGCTCTGCACAGACTGACACTGCTTAGTTGTAGAGGATCAGGAGGGGCGTGGGTGGCAAGTGCCATATGACCTTTTTCCCAGACTAGTGCAAGAGCCAAAGAGATTACGAGGTGCATTGGTGTTTTCTTGAAAAAATGACAGGAATCTTTTTCAGTCATATCATACTTGGTCTTCAGTCTCAATTTAATCGTGAGAGAATCGTATCGTGAACCCAGTATCATGAATTGTATCGTATTGTGAGTTGAGTAAATCATTACATCCCTAGTAGTTAGTATAAATCAACTCAAAGGAACAAACTATGCATTGTATGGTGTCTTAGTGTGGTATTTGAATAAATATGATAATGAGGGTACAAAAAGCATCCCTTTTCTGATATGTTTCTGTCGTCCTCTAGGTGCCAGCAAAGTTTCGCTACCCGTTCTATTATGAGATGTGCTGGTATGTGCTGGAGAGATATCTTTACTGTCTCACCAATATCTCCCATCTCACCCCTGAGTTCCAAAAATACTCCCTCGGCATAGGTGAGAAGCAATGAACACAAGAATTCTGGCCGTTTTTTTTCCTTTTCTTTATTACACAGAAACACAAAATAATGATTTGCTGACACAAACTTTATCTTTTTCAGGGCTGACACAGGCTGACCTCGAAACCATGGATCACACTGGGAATGGCGCCCCAAATGGGGTAGACAGTGACACTGAACATGTTGAGATAAAGGTGAAGGAAGAGGATGACCACAAAGAAAAGGCAGCTCAATTTCCCAAACCGAAGCAGATGCTGACTCCCTTTGAGCTTGAGGGCTTGTTTAACCTTTTAGGGAAGCTGGAGGAACTTCCTGCCCACAAAAAATGTGTCCCTGCAGGCATCAGGAACGCTGTAGCCCTGCTTGAGGACATGAGGGTAGGTGTCCATCTCTCAATAAACACTGGCTTAGATATCATTTTCAAAGACAGTTGGCGCCTAATGTTTTTTGGAGATGTCCAGATATATAAAATTGTTGTTCTTATTTCTTCTTCTTTTTCTTCTCCGCTTGTCCAGGCTGTTCTGCAGAATCATGTTAATGAGAACCCTAAGCTCTCCTACACTGGAGAGCCCATTGTCAAGTGGCCAGAAAGGGTGAGTAGAGAAATGTTAGATACATTTTAACCCCTCCTGCAAGCTGGGAGCAAGTAGCAACATTATAATGTGTAAAGATGATGATGTTAGTCATTGAGCACACATGGTATATTAAAAATATGTGTTTCAAATAGTTTCAAGCTTCTTTTGTTACATATAATTCATACTAAAATACACTGTCAGGATCAGTAGAAAAGAATGTACCTTTTAGAATAAACTGCAAATTAAATACCTTGAAAATAATTACCTTTTGAAATTAAATGATCAAAAAAACAAAGCCTGTCATTGTGGGGAATTATTTACAGGACACTCTTTTAACTTTTTTTGTCTTATCCCTGCTTATGTTCCTGAAACAGCCGTCATGGTACCAGCCCCCCACTCCCCCTCCACCCGTCATTTACCGCCCCCGCTTGGGCCCCACCCTCCACAAGCCTCTGGGACAGAGGCCCACCAAACGCTCCTCCATCTCTGCCTTGAGGCGCAGACGGGTGAGGTGTAAGCGCTGTGCTGGCTGTTGCAGGAAGGAGTGTGGCACCTGCCAGTACTGCCATGACATGAGGAAGTTTGGTGGGCCTGGACGCATGAAGAAGGGCTGTGTCATGAGACAGTGTCTAACGGTGAGACCCATAGCACCAATGATGCTCCAAATCTCTACATATCAGAAATGAAATGTTTCTAGGATTTTTATAAATCTTTTGCAGCTTAAGATCTCTGGATTTTGAAAAGGAATAGAGTTTAAAATCACATTCATGTATTCCTACAGCCTGCCTTGCCAAACACAGCACGCTGTGCCATATGTGGAGAAGGAGAATCAGAGGAATCAGATCCAAGCACTCACTCACTCATGGAGTGCTCTGTCTGCTCACAGATTACCCATCATCATTGCATGAAGGTGAGCTGCTAACGACACAGTGTGAAGGCTGGTAATTGAGTGTGCTATTGCTTTCCTCTTGATAAAGCTGCATTTCTTGGTCAAACCTTGAAGGTGATTTTTCAAGCTATTTACTTTATCCTGTTTCAGGAACCTGGTGAGGGGAAGATCAATAAGGATTTGCCCAGCTGCTGGGAATGTCCCAAATGTTACCAAAACAAAGGCTCAGAATCAGAGGTACAAAACTTTCTCTCTTCGTTTTAATGTCATTAAATCAACACTTTACAACATTTACCTTCTTCAGTAACTTACTCCAACTACCCTTTGCTTGATATTGAAATGCTCTAAGTTTTGTAACTCTATGTTACAATAACGCCCTTTCTTCTTAAACCCCACTGATCAACTCTTCTTGTCCTCTCGTGCCAGTCTTTTAGCGACGAAGAAAGTGGAGAGTCGGAGGGCTTCACCTCCTTGCCGCCATCCAAACTTGCATACCGGGAGGGAATAGGTGTAGGAGAAGGTGTGAGACGAGGGAGACGTAGTAGACCTACCAGACCCACAGCACCACCTCCTTCTCAGAAACTGCTACTACAGCATCAACAGAATCGCAAGAGAGCAAGTGCACTGGAGCTCAGACTTAAGAAAAGGGTAAAGTTAAGATCCAAACAGGAGATGCAATTTTTCACTTTCCCATTCACGATTTAAGAGAAGTAGTGTAAACAATCTTTTGATTGAAAGAAATCAGGGTTCCTGCAGATGTTTAGGTTTTAATTAGAAAGTCATAAAAGGATTCATTTGTTTTTCTTTGTTTGGGTCTTTATATTCGATTTTTCACACTTAAATATAATATAAATCAAGTATATCCTCTGAAAATAACTCTGAGTCATGACTGTCTACAATGGGTGTAACACCCGAGTCCCACTGTCTGTGATGCTCTCCGAGTTTTCTGAGTCCTATCTTCAGTTTGTTTACATTGCCAGGACGGCCAGCCAGCTCATCCCCTCACCTATAAAAGTTGTTTAATTGAGAGACTAGAGAAAAGAAGAATAACATACTGTACTCACTGCTTAACTGTGTTTCTAGATCACGCTCATTTCGGGTAAATTTACATGCAGTGTGAAGATACAAGCATAATAAAGATCACTAGCATTAGCGTGCTAACACAACAATGTAGCGCGAGTTGTTTTGGTTTCATGCTGGTGCTCAAGGGCGACATCTGCAGGATCAAAAAAATCGCATATAAAGCCTTTACAGCAATCATGAGATGAGTTTAGTCAGAAACTTTCCATTTATACCTTAAACTTAAACAGTGATGTATCTGGATTTATCTGGAATTCCAGATCATCCCATGCAACTTTAATTGTCCATGAAAGTGTTTTTCAACCATACACTATACCAGGATGTGCCACCCAGGTATTTTTCTCTTCTTTTTTTTTTCATCCAATTTATGATTGCCATCTAAAATGTTGTCTAAGATTGACAAACAAATCGACAAACTGCACATTTGAATCAATCGAGTAACTGGATTTCTAAATGCCTCGAGGCATATTTAAATCCGGACTACTGTAGAGCGCACTGTTGAAAGGCCCAACATACTTTATATTTAGAATATACATAGATCATGTACTGTCATTTTATTTCAGCAGAGCATGAGCATCTGTAAGTTTCACTGACTGACACACGTCTCCTTTATGGTGACACAGCGGCAGGATAGGAATTTTAAGTTGAGGGCTTTTTATCATAGTAAATCATTTACATTAGCCAGTCTAATGAACTTAAAGTATATTTATATAGGCCTAGTTATAAGACAGGATAAGATAATCCTCTTAGTCCCACAATAGGAGAATCTTCATTGTTACAGCAGTAAAGGAAAAAATACAGCAAAGGTTGAGATAAGCATCAATAAATAAACAATAATAACTAGAAGGAAAAATAAGTGATAAAACAAGTTGTCTTTCAAAAAAGCAAAACTAAGTTAGATGTTCATAAAAGAATCCTGTCTTTGTGAGTGACATTTATCTCAATCCCTCAACCACTTGTCTGTCTTTTGCAGATAAAACTGGAGCGGAGCAAACTGTTATCGGTAAGAAATGCACTTATTTCTGTAATGACTCTGTACTGATAATAAATATATCTTCATTTTTTTTTGTGTGCCAAATACAGTGAGTACTGTTTGTTAGAGAACCCTGAAGTGCTGATGTGGCAGCATTTCATTATTTTAGAAAAACGTTCAAGTTCTGTTTCAGGTGTTCAGAGCACATTTGAGCTTTAGATTTTGTTTGGAAGATGCAATACTTTGTTCACACTTGCCATCGTTTTTGCACTTTCCTTCCAACAGAGACAGGCAGCTTTAGATCGTTCTCCTAGGCTGCTTGGCTCCAGGATGCTGTCCAGACTACGTTCTCCAACCAGCAGAGAATCTCAGGGCAGAGGCCGGGGCACCACCTGGCCCAGTGGCTCTTCCTTAAACAGCTCTCCAAGAGGGACTGCGCCCATCCAGCAGCAGCCGTCTTCCTTCGGTCTGGTTCTTGAACCCAAAGGAGAGCCTCGCCGAGGAAGAGGAAGAGGGGTGAGGCTGCGGGGAGGAGGAGCAGGGAGAGGCATGAGAAGTGGTAGAAGCTATGGAGAGCTGCAGGAGGAGAGTGAGGACAGCAGTAGCAGCAGCAGCAACAGCAACAGCAACAGCAGCAGCAGCAGCAGCAGCGATGATGATGAGGACAGGGGACAGACAAGTGTGAAGGGTTTGGATAAAGAGAACCAGCCACAGTCAAGGCGAGAGGGACGAGCAGCCAAAGAAAAGGAGGTGGAAGGGAGCAAGGTGGCTTACCAAAATGTTGTGGAGGAAGATGAGGAGGAGGAGATGAAACAGGACAGTCAAACGGGGGGGAACGATGGCTCCAATCTAAAAGTGACACTTCAAAGACCAACCAGGGCCAAGCAGGATCCGTCAGCTATTGTCCCTAAATTAGAAGCTATTGCCCCTCAAACTACCACTTCAGCAATACACAACCAGACCAGGGCCCTTGCGAGACCCCCAATCAGAAATCGCAGGCCCTGTCCTGAACAACACTCCAACAGGCACACACCCCCACTCACTCGCAGTGGGCACACAGACACTCATAGCTCCCACCCAGAGAGGCTGGACACCTCTAAAAGAACCAAGCTGAGCAGACCGGCTAAACTGAGCAATGGAGCCTCCTGTTCCTCTTCCTCTGAGCTTCCTCATCACCGCGTCCCTCTGTCCGCACTACAGGAAGGAGGGGGCGAGGCAGACAGGGAGAGCAGTGGGAGCGGGCCAGGCTGCGAGAGGGAGGTGTGGGTATCTGTCTTCCGCTACTTAAGTCGAGCAGACCTCTGTGTCTGCATGGCTGTCTGCAAAAACTGGTACAAATGGTAAGACCTTTTTTAATATAATTGTAATAAGGGAAGAATGGTCTACTCAAACCTTTCTCCTTGCTGACTTTTATTTAAGAGAGAGAAGGGAAAAGAAGGGTCACAGTAACTTTTGCCCTTTAAAAAATCTGACTCCTATGGCAATAGAAAAAAAATGTATTAATTCCACTTTAACTTTTTGTGTTAATTCTCATTATTTTGATTGGATCAGCTTCATAGCTTTTGATCAGGACCTTCATTCTTTTAAGGAAGTAGCTTTTTTCCCAGTGAAACACTTCCATTCAACGTTTACCTATTTCTGCTGTTAACTCTGCTAGCCAGTTAACCAACTGTATCGGTTGTATCATTTTTTTTATAATTGATTTAAATGTCTGATTTTGATAATTAAATAGGCTACCATCAAAATACAGTAATGATGCCATCTCAGCCATTGAAAATAACTAGAAATAGTTGTGTATTTTTCCCTTTATTGTTTTTTGCAAGTGTTGAGAAGTAAATTTAATAAAAGTCAAGAATAATTTTGAGGATGTGAACACAATAAAAAGCCATCATAACTTACTAAAGTTTAGTATTTTTAAAAAAATGTTTGTCTTTTTCTTAATGCAAACTAAAAAGTGTCAGGTTGTGTAAAGTTCTGTCAGTGTAACATGGCTGTATGTATAGCTGACAGGATAAATGAATGTGTTTTTAATCAGCCTGCTCTTGTTCAGGTGTTTAGACAAGCGGCTTTGGTCACGGATCGACCTGAGCATCAAACGCACCATCACTCCTCAGGCCCTAACAGGCATCATAAAGAGACAGCCAATCACACTCGATCTCTCTTGGACCAATATCTCTAAAAAGCAGCTAAACTGGCTTGTTGGCCGGCTGCCTGGTATGTCATCACAAACAACACCAACACATTTTTCATAAAATATATGTTCAATGCTATTTAATAAATGACATAATGAAGCAAAATATTTGTATTGTATATCGTTTTGAAGAGACATGTTCGCACTGGTAAGTTCTGTGTTGTTGATTTCACAGGGCTGAAGGATCTGATGCTCGCAGGTTGTTCCTGGTCATCTATTTCAGCTCTCTGTTCCTCTGGTTGCCCTCTCCTTCGCTCTCTGGATCTGCGGTACGCAGACGGGATCAAAGACACTCAGATCAGGGATCTAGTCAGCCCTCCAGGTGAGGAAAGAGATGCCTCCCAGTGTGCTTGTTAATAGCTAGATGTCAATCTCATTCAGCTTTCCATTTTTTTCAGTAGTGACCTCTGAAGCCTCTTTTTGTCTCTATTTTTTACACAAACTCTTCTTTTTTTCTTCACCTCCCAAATAATCTCTATGTTCCAGGCTGTGACAATCGCAGTCAGTTGCGGACCATGCAGTGTTTGCGACTAGCGGGCCTGGACATTAGCGACTCCACTGTGCGCCTGGTGATCCGCCACATGCCCCAATTAACAAAACTAGACCTCTCCCACTGCAACAGCCTTACAGACCACTCCATCAACCTGCTGACTGCAGTGGGCTCATCCACTCGCAATACTCTCACAGAACTCAACCTGGGAGGTGAGATATTTTCTGTAACATCTAATACAACAAATGTTGGATTATTTTTATTGCACAGGCTCTGATGTCTCTTTATGTCTCTTTCTCTCTCCCAGGCTGTAGTAAACTGACAGACACATGTCTAAAGTATCTCCGACGTCTCTCTTGCATCTCTCTGCTCGACCTGCGAGGCTGCAAAGGCGTCTCACGCATGGCCTGCGAGGCCTTCATCTCTGAGCTGTCCGTCAACACGCTCTACTGCCTGTCAGATGAAAAACTGATTCAGAGGATATCCTAAATTCTCCTCTGACTGCAGGAATGCAATGGCAAGAGAGTGGATCCTGTGTGACACAAACGACACAGGTGGGCAAGGAAGTTAACATCGGCCTGTATCATGTAAACGGAAGGGTGGGGTCTAAACTGCGAATGCTAACTCACTCATTAAGTGGTGTTGAAATGGTGTTAAAGGGGGTCCTCACAGCTGGACCAGCATTGCATACATGTTTCCCCGTGTACCAATAAAGAGACTAAGGAGCTTTATTTTTTATGTTCTTTTGGGATTACTGCGATGTGGAGAAGAAAACCTTTTTTCCATTGCCAGCAGAAGTGGGACAACATGGGCAATTAATAAACTGTAATAATCTTCACATCCTTGGGATAACCAAGGGGATCGCTTCTTCTTTGGAGAGATGCCAGTCTTGACTCTGTCATAAACTCAAGCCTTGACAAAGAGAGATAAGAAAATACTAAGTTTCCTGCATTCTTTTGTTTAGCTGAGCCCCATAAAGTCTTATTTATTATTAGCTGACTAATTTTATTTTGGCTACTTTTGGCAGCTCCAAATTAATGAATATCTTTGTCAGATTCAAGAAAGCAAGCGTTATGTTGTTGGATGCTATCTGCACAACATCTAAGTGTTTAGGTTTATTTTTTACAGATGACTGAAGGTCACATGTCTCTCATCACAACCTGCATGTTGAGGGACTGGAGTGGCCTGTATTGTCGGTATAAAAAGGCACTTGGGTGCCATAGTAGTCATATGGTAGAATTGAATAGTAAACACAAATACTGAGTGGGAGCAATGGAATAGCAGAAGACAGTGTGAGAAAGCAATCAATGTGGCAACAAGACCTCACCCCGGCAGAAGGGCAGGTTGCATTAAGTGTTCGGGGTAAACCAAGGATTAGGTGTCAGATAAATGGTGCATCTTCAAACAAATGTTAGTCTTCAGGTGCTATTATTTCCAAACTCTTTTTGCTTTGTTTTTGTACAGAGAATACATTTAGAGTAAACATGTTATTATTCTAGATGAAACTGCTCCCCACCCCTCTTTCATAAATTCTGGTTTATTTTCATGGGTGAAAAAAAAAAAACGTTGGAACTTTTCACTGAATTTCATGACCTATATGATTCAATGTAGAGATGTATAATTTTGTTTTTGGGGGCAGGGGGCGTTGCTCATGTCTTTGTTACCTTTTAGTGTACTGGTTCTGTATCAAAGATTTCCTCCCAGACAGGCTCTCCCAGTCATATCCCTTCAAATGATAATAAGTATATTAAAAATATACTTTTGTGTAAATGTTTTTTTTCCCCTTTTTTTTCGATTATCAAAACGGGAATCCTGTTGCACTGTAAGTATTTTCAGTAGCCTTTTTTTTTTTTCCACTTAAGTTGTTTGTGTTCTTTTTCAAGAAAAATAAAAAAAATGATAAACAAAGCTCTTGATATCTGCTTTGCTTTTTTTTCTAATAGTTTATTTCCACTGAAGGATCACATCAGATATCTGCTCCTCCCTGGCGCCACCCTGCTGTTCTCCATAACCTGGAAATAAAGCGACGCCCAATAAATAAATAAATAAACAAATAACTCTGCTACAGCTGTTCCGTGTGTTGTCGACCACAGAGACGCTGCGCTTGGCACAGTAAGGCAGATGTGGATGGGTTTTTATTATCTATTCACAGGTATGACTGGGTACTATTGGTAGCAGCTCATTACCAACATTTCACCAGATGCCACGTACGAGTGCGACCTGGATGTGAAACTGGAATAAAGGCCGTATCTCGCTATATTTTGACAGACCGTAACAACACTGAGATGTAAACAGTGTGGATGGACGCGGTAGCAGCGGGGTAGCTAGCTGACTTTATTACACGGCGGTCCTTAAATAATCTGAACTATTCGTGATAATAATGGAGGAACTTGGAAATACATGTGTTGGCCGGATTTATTAATTACCTTGCTTTGTGAATAATGGAAATCAGGTGCCAGGAAGATCAGGAAACAGTGTTGTTATTAGCAAGTTAGCTCACGGTAGCTCAGCTAGCTGTTAGTTAAGGTTAACTACATCAAATTAGTGGGCTGGGTTAGCTGGGTTAACTCAGCCCACTAATTTTAAATAGGCACGGAAAATAATCACACAAATATTGTTGGCGACTAAACTTTTCTATTTGCCTAGATTTATTTTTTTTGACTGACAAGTTTTTGTTTTTTTCCCCCAGTGGAACCCAGTTTACCTATTTTTTTCTGGTGTTAACTCCGCTAGCCTGCTAAGCAGCTGTGTTGGTTGAGCTGCTGCTGCTCCTCCTGTCTGCTGTGGTGTCAGTGCAATCTGCTGGTTGCACAAGTCATATTGTAAATATAGCTTTTACTGCTGCTAAAACTGCCAAGTGCACGACAAGCAATGGCTCAAGAAGCGTTTCCCCTGCATTTTCTGGTCTGGAACAATCAGTACCTGGAGCTTGATCGAGAGCTGCAGAAGAAAGAGGTGAGTAAAAGGGGGGCTATGGAGCAGCTGATGGTTGTTTTTTTTATTTTTTTTATTTGTTATTTTTTACAAATTGCTTTCGGTAGGTCGCACTGCATTGCGCTGATGCTGCTTATAATTTTGGTTCTGCAGCAGGATGTTGAGCGCCTGGATCCGAGGGGGCGCACCCCGCTGGAGCTGGCTGTGTGTCTGGGCTACCTGGAGTCCACCCGGGTGCTGCTCAGGCACACTGCAGACCCCACACACAGCAACGCACAGGGATGGACCAGTGAGTGCTCCCGTTGCTGCTCCCAGTTTGCATTTGTTCAGATGGAGATAAGTAGCACCCCCCACTGTCATTTAACGTGGATGCATGTTTCAGTCTTGCAGGAGGCGGTGAGCACAGGAGACCCTGAGCTGGTTCAGCTAGTGCTTCAGTACAGAGACTTCAAACGTGCCACAGAGAGACTGTCAGGCATCCCAGAGCTGCTCAGCAAACTAAGACAGGTAGAACTGCCTCAGTTTGATTAAAACTTTAAGCCTCCAGTTCTTCAACTCTCCTGTTTCCCAAAGCACTACACCCGAACCTCTGCCACGCCTCAGACTTTTGGTAAATATTTGTTGAAAGGCTTTTCGCAAGAAGACATAGTTTTCATAGACATTGTCCCTAATTCATCTCTTCATTTTAGCAACTGTTTGATCTAAAACTGTGCACAATCCCAAGCCTGATCTAGTCAGACATCACATGGCTGGATATTTTGTTTTGTTTATTTTGATCAAATGTTCCTTGTTCTTCGTCAGGCACGGGACTTCTATGTGGAGATGAAGTGGGAGTTTACCAGTTGGGGTGAGTGTGGGTCATGTATGTGTTTTCCCAGAGGTTAGTTTCTGCTCCAGTAGTAGTTGGTCAGCTCCACTTGCAGTTAGATGGAAGATTTGAGTGATGTGACTATTTACTCTAATAAGTTACATAGTTTTAATGTAGTTTCTTGTTTTGGATTACTTTGCCTACTTTAATCTGCATAATAGTAGTTTAAACATTACTTTCATCATCAACTAATATTCACAATAAAGATTATATCTCAGTAGAATATTGTCTCTAATGTATTTTCTATACAATGCTGTTGAATAAGAGAAAGAAATGTTGATAGGTTTTCAATGTAATAATTATAATTTCATTTATTTGCCACTTTTTGAAAACAATGTTACAGAGTGCTTTACAATTTAAAAAGCAGTAAATAATTTAAAAAAAAATACACAAATCGATGAATAATGCAACAAATAATTAGGCAGAGCCAGGGTGAGAATCCAGCTCTAAGGTTAGAGCTCCCCATGCCCTCATCCACTCTCATGAGACTCGCTGGTTTATGCTTGCTGCTCTACGCTCTTACGCTCCCTATGGTTAAAAAAAGACCCAAACATCAGTTAAACATTTATATCACTAAAACCCTTTTAAAGAAGTACACAACAACGTCAGCAGTTAAAAAAAGCCAACCAATAAAAGTGAGATTTAAGAAGTGATTTATAAGAGGACATGAAATTTGCCTTCTTGACATCTCCAGGCAGGTAGTTCCACAACTGGTGGGCCGAACTGCAAAACCTTGTTCACCTTTTGTGACCAGTCGAGGTTTTAGGAACGGCGGAGAGGATCTCAAGCAGCCGTCCGGCTCACAGGGAGTTAGCAGGTCACATAGATAGGGTGGGGCTTGACCATTTAAGGCTTTATAAACAATAAATTAAATCTTAGAAACAATTATAAAAATCACAGGTAGCCCGTAAAGGGCAGTATGGACAGGTGGAATGGAGTAATTTCTCTAAGTGTACGTTAAAAGTTTGGCAGCAGTATTTTGAATCAACTACAGTCTTTAGATGCTACGTTTGGTAATGCCAGAATAAAAAGCATCACAATAGTCAAGTTTGGAAGAGATAAATGCATGGATGACTTTTGTAATCCACCAGGAGAAAGGAATGACCTGATTTTGATTAGTTAGGGTTAGGTTAGGGTTCGCTCTTAACTGAGCGAAGCAGGACTGCATCACTTTTGCCACCTGGTTATCAAAAGATAGTTCTGTGTCAAAAATGACCCCTTGGTCAAACATTATAAGATACGGCACCCAGACTGGAGGAGAGATTATTAATTAAGCTCATACTGGGGTCAGAGGGGTTAATAAAATGCACTTCAGACACTTCAGATTTTGAGGTTGAGCTGTAGAACATTTTTCGATTTTCAATATCTGCCAGACAGGACATGATTTGTGTGAGATCAGAGGTGCCAGGTTTTAACAAGGCGTAGAGTGAGTGTCATCTGCATAACAATAAAAGTTTGTGCCAGGCCTACGAAGGATTTTCCCAGGGGCAGCATGTGAATAGGAGGGTACCCAAAATAGACCCCTGGGGGATCCCACAAGAAAGAAGAAGAACACAAGAGGAAGAAGCATCTCTAAGCATTACAGGAAAAGACCTTCTACAGATCGGAAACAAACTAGTCCAGCGCCACACCACTGATGCCAAGAGTGTACTTCAGCTGCAGCTAATTATGACATCACGGTCAATTGTATCAGAGGCTGAGCTGAAGGCGAGAATTAAAATAGTACAACCCACAGTCAGCAGCAAGGGGCCAAACAGTGGAAACCTTGACTAGAGCTGTTTTAGTGCTTTGTCGGGAGCGTAGTGAGTTCCCTGGGGACATTTTGAACAAACGCTTTGGGGTTTGTTACTAAACTTTATTGTCTACTTTTTGACTGTGTAGCATTGCCTCTTTATTGTTTTTGAAAACTTTGGATATCTTAGATAATCTTAGATATAATACTTCCTTACTGATAGAGGCCATTTGTATTTCTGAAACTAGTGTCAGCTAGTTAATCCTGAGGGTTTATATCAGCTAAGGTGCTAATTAGCTAAATAATTGGTTCTTAAAAATGTTTCATCTTCCAATGAAAATCTCCCTTTTTATTTCTCCTATCTTTGCCCTTTTGCTGTTTGGCTCCCTCACGCTCTTTGCCTTTTGTTTGAAAATGTGTCTTTTATTTATTCTTCTTTTCAGTGCCCTTGGTTTCGAAGGTGTGTCCCAGTGACGTCTACCGGGTGTGGAAGAGTGGCTCGTGTCTCCGCGTGGATACCACCCTCCTGGGCTTTGAACACATGACCTGGCTGAAAGGACGACGCAGCTACATCTTCAAGGGTGGAGGTGTGTGTGCTCCCTAAACGCATGATATTAATAGATGGAGAGAAATGCCTTGAAAGACCATTTGAGCCTCATATCAAGCAAAACAAATCACGTTTTTTTGTTTTTTTTGTTTTTAAAATCTTTGTGCGTTTCTTCTTAGATGACGGT